GGATGTTTGGTGGCGGCTCGTAAGACAATATCGGAGGCGGGGTTCGAACCTGAGATAACATTGTACGCACGACGTAAGATCTAAAGCCGAATTTCTTCGGGAGAAGTCGGGTATTTCCGTTTTGTCCGACAGTTCACTCCTCGGCCTACGTCTCGCTTTGTCATGGCTGCTTCATATTCAAAAGCGATCCAATGGAAATCCATTTCGTGTTGTCATCAGCCCGATACATAAACCATTATCAACAGCAAACGCTTTAATGTCAGTTTTTTCAGGTGTTCGCCCCCCCCGGCCCCCCCGCAGATACTGTACGAAGCTTTATGGGGCCACGTGGAGGAAACACCTGAGAAAGTTAGTCAGCTGTTGAGCTGGAAAGACGGACGGAGAACGCGGGAGTCTCGGAAATAATAAAAAGAGAAAAGTTCTGCGAGAGGCCGGGCTGTGGGAAGGCGGTTTTATATTTGCTTTGCAGATGAGAGGCGTGAAAATTTGCATCCCGCAAATCCCAGCATTAAAATCGCTTATTTTAAAATGCACGTAAACACACGGAGGGCGTGAATTGTAAAATGCGATAGGCCTGTAATTCGCCCGGACAGTTTCATCTCGTGTCGTCTCCTCGCAGACTTCTCTGAAGTATTTCAGTTTTCCAAGTCCCTCAGCCAATCGAAACACGATGTTCGACTTTTCATCATGGAGTCCGTGGTTCAGTCCCAGGGCAGTTAACCGCACTTCTGGGGAGGGGGGGGGGCGATGAAGATGGCCGTCTTTAGGGTCGGAACTTCGACTACACGGCGTTGTAACCCAGAGGACGACCACGGGCGCGCCCTCCGCCGTGAGAAATGTTTGCCGGCGGAGTTAGATCTTCTTCGGTATCCATGGTAACCTCTGACATCATTTAAATAAACGAGCGAAAAGCAGGAGGATTTATTTTACAGGCGTCGTTAAAATTCTGACGTCGTTCGGGGCGGATCCGGCGGGTGTTGTGAACGAGAAATGACGTACGTAGCATGGAAACGGTTAGAATGTGAAGAATTCGTAAGCCCCTTCCGGTTGTGCGTGCACGTGTATGTGTGTGACTCAGGGTTGCCAACTGCGAAGTAACAATATACGAGACACGCGGAAGCTCGTCGCTCGCCGTAAAAATAGTTTCCAGTTATTTATGACGGTCTCTCCCCCGCCCATGTATCGGGTAACAACGTACCAACCAAACGGACCCGACTGGGTTGGTAACACTGAGAGGGCGAGCTTTTGAATGGTTCGGTTTCTGGGTAGGTTTTTTTTCCTTTTTCTTTCTTTTCTTTTCAGAAGCCGGTGGTGGCGAAACCGCCACTGCGTCCAAGTCGTGTCTGCCGTCGGTTGTGCTGACATTTTTCCCGCTAATTTTTTTTTGACGTAAATACGTCTATATTGAAGCGTCATTCGGCAAAAATGTTACGAAGATGTGTAACCTGGTTACCTAGAAAACGTCATCTGTTTACTCGGAATTGTTGTTACCCATAAAACATTACCTTACATTACATTCAGCTACCACAGACCCATCTTAAGCGTAACTAATTCAAGTTGATTAAGCAATGTCTTAATCAAACTTTACTCAATTGTAAAGCATGTATAAAGGAAATATTTAGAATAAAGCCAATATATAACCTTCCTCTCCGGAACCGTGGTTACACTGACAACTTTCTCTTCAGTCTGCTGAGGTTTCCGACCCGTACTTTCTCAGCATTTCTTATCTCTGCCTCAATCAAGAATTTTCAGATTGTAGTCTTTCGTACGTTTGTATTGACTTAGGAAGATATGATGGGCTGGGCATGTAGAAACATTTCGATCGACCGGGTCTACTTGGAAGATGACGCGGTGGCCTCTCGGTCGGCCAGAGAGGTGCGAGGAACGACATGCGGCCCCCCAGTTTGCGTGTTCCTTGTCAGAATTGCGACGTGTGGTTGGGTCCATAGGTTGGGGATCAGGCCGCCGCCGTGCCAGCTGATTAGCAGTTAGTTGATCCCGGCCACTTGAGTTCCTGCAAACTACTGAGGTGGTGCTATTTATTGTAGGGTCGTGAAGTGCGTATCGATTCTTGAGGTCGATATAAAACGCCAACACCAGATCGTAATTTTAATTTGAAACGTGTCTGTCCGAGCGTTGTCGATCTGTTCCACTTTGCGGTGCCCCCTGTAGGAGCGGAGAGGTCAACCAGAGGTCAGGCGTTTCTCACAGCCAGCCATACATAATGCATAGCGGTCACGGGAACACTTACGTAACAATCGATATCAATTAAAATCGATGTCTTTGTGTAACACGTGGGCTCTGCCCCGTCCCGTCCCGTCCAGTCCCCGGGGTCTCCGCAGGTTGATCCCACAGGGACCCCGAGTGTCTCGTGTCTTGGAGCGTGAAGATGGCTCCGTTCGTGGCGAAGGTTTAGAATGCGTTGTTTAACGACGCTGTCAGCACCTCAAGCCACTGGCGGTGTCGAAAGGGCGTGTCTCGCAATTTGCCCGCAAGGACCGAGGATCGTTCGAGATCCGAACCCGGGAGGACGATTGTGGCGGGGGGGGGTACCGCGGAAGACCACGACACCTTCGCCCGCGCCCGGTCGCTGCTCGTTAACATGTAAACGTAAGCGTGACCCTGCCTCGGAGAGCTGGGGTTCAACTCGTAGCCTCTCACGACATTAAAATTAATTGTCCCGGAATGCGCGGACTGTCAGTTGGGCAGCTGTTACGTGTGGGAACAGGGCTGCCAACCGATCGATCCTCTTCTCGGCGTTAATGTCGTTCTATAAGGTCGGATCGTGGGCAGTGGGAGGAGGGGGGGGTGCCCTGACGGAGGGAATGAATTTTCGGGTTTTCACTGTCGCGTGTTGCGACGCCGTGGGTGGTTGGTTACCCCACCGTCGTTCTGAACGGTCAGATGTTCTCTACCATCTTCCAGCATCCTCCGAAACGACTGTGGCTCGGAATGCGTCCCACGACTTTCGTGTGGCTCAGAGCTTCACGTTCCAGTCGCTTTAACCCGTTTCACGCCTCTTGCTAAGACATGTTTGAGTGTTAATGTGGGTTCATGCTCCAAGGTTTTACCGGGTGGGGATGACGAGACTCGGCGAAGCTTTACGAGATGTCGTCTTGCGTGAGAGAGAGACTGCAGTTTCTGCGAGGAAGAGGAAACGGAAATCTCGGCTGGGAAGGTTCCCAGGCAGCGCTCAGTCGTCTCTCTCTTCCTTTTCATTGCCTCGTTTTCAGAACCTTTATGGACGAATTCCTCTCTCGTCTTGTTCATCCCCGCTTCAAGGGGCCAGAGCGCGCCAGGCGAATAACAGTGAGTGGAGATGTCGGCGCTTTGTTTGTCTTCGTAGGAGCGGCTGCTCTTGCAGATGATAAGACCGGAGTCACAATATTTACAGAGCGTTCCGTCCGTATCTTTATCGGTTTGCGTCCAGGCGCGTAATTTTTTGAGCATTGCTCGCGATTAATATCTGTCCGTCACCGACGGGCGTCGTCAGGTTCACTGGCCGCTGTTCGCAGACCAAAATTTGCTGCAAAACGAGGGCTCTCTGTGTCCGAAAGCCCCTGATTCCTCATCGGAGACCGGCCGTCAATGACCGTGCTTTCGTAATTCTCCTCAGTCCCTCCATGCAAATTCAGAGATAAAACCTGAAGTTGGTCCCTTTCCAATCCCTCCTAATTCATCGCCCCACCACGTCACAATCAGCAATCCTGAAAATTGTGCACCTTCGATAATTGGTCTCGGCGGGATCTGGGTAAGATAATATTAAAACTGACTCTTAAAAATTGAGTGTGATTCGTGTCGCTGTAGTGGCGGGCTCTTGTGAACGCGGTTTTCGAACGTTTTGGTTCCGTAAAAGGCGGGGAATTTGTAAGGACTCTTGTTCCGCGGAGTCGTTTATTTGGGAACGTGAACAGCGTTCTGGTGCCAGGACTAGTCGCGGGTTGTTCGTCTTTTGTCGAATATTGAGGAAAACGGCGTCGCTGCGGTCGGTGGAGGGAGTCGTACGACGTCGACGGAGTGTCGGCCAGGGTCAGGGTCCCCTCGTTTCGTTCTCCCTGTGACGTGCGAGTGTGGGACTACGATGATGATTGCTTGCGTCGTCAAATGACGAATCTGTTCTTCTTCTCCGCAGGTCTTGTACGCGACGTGACAGCGCGCATGCGCGCGTTTGGAGACCAATGGGATTGCTGAGCGGCCGACCAGCAGGGCAGTGGTTGGAGCGGCCCGGAGCAGGAAAGGTGCGTTTGCCCCGCGTTCTTTTGGCGGCAGGCGGAAATGTTGGCCTCGTGGCAGTCGACGTCGCCTGACGAGGGCGCCGTCAAGCAGCGAGAATCGCCTTTCAGGGACGATGCGTCGGACAGTCAGCTGTCGTGTGACAGGTGCGTTGTGAACGATCGGGTATCGTCTGGAGGGGGCATTGTGAACGATCTTTTGTGGGGTAACAGGTACTTTGTGAACAATCCGTTATGGTGTGACGGGGACGTTGTTCGGTACCCACTATTGTCTGACGGGGACCTTCGTAAGTGTCCGTTATCGTGTGACAGGGTCGCAGTGCCCGCCGAAGTGACGAGGTGCGTGGACTTGGAACCTTCAGTATTATGTGAGGTGAAGAAACCCGGTGGTGACAGGCGAGCGGCGTTCTGCGTCATGAACCATTTGACGGGAAAGGTCCTCAGAAGGCGCCCGGGGGCGAGTGGCTGCCCCCGCGTCAAGGACCTGGACCCGCGCGCCAACTGGCGGCGAAGACACCGCACCTCTCTCGTGTGGTGGTTGCTGCTGTTTCTTCTCGGGGCGGCGCCCCTGGCGTCGGGACAGCTGCGCCCCAAAACTGACATCAGCTCCAGCCGCGCAGAAGGGGGTAAGTAGTACGTTGAGGGGTGCGTCGCATCCCTCAGGTGACGAGGGTGGATAGAATTGTTTGAGGGTCATTTTCAAAGGAGCAATTTTTCTTAGAAGAAGGGAATTACTTTATTGTAATCTAAGGTGGCAGAAACTTCTGTCCTAGAGTTATCCCGAGTGCGCATCGTATTTGGCCCGCGAAGAGGGAGGTCAGGGGTCACTGTGTGTCTTTCCGTAAGGTAATCATGTGACGCCAAGACTTATTAGAATAGCAGAATAAAAATGCCTTATCACTCCTCGAAGTTGTGATGGTTTTAAAGCCCACTCGGTGGCAGTGATTTAGTGTTGTATCAGCTACACATGTTCGTTATCTCCTTATCGCTTGTTATTCGTTTAGAGCGATAATTGTTACGTTATCAGCGAGTAGCCGGTCGGAAGTGGCTTTGTCAAATGTCGTCATGGCGTCCCTTGGGCGTACGTCAGGGCCGTGAAGGAGTATGGGGGGCGTGGAGAAGAGTGGTCAGCTGATTCTCTCCTGGGGGTTTGCCTGGACACGTGCGTCGAAGATAAAGAATTGTCGTCGCTGGGAATCGAACCCCACAGCAGAGGTGTGCCACTTGGTTGACCGGGATAGTCGAGACGTAGATTTTTGACAGACAAAATGAACTTGAGGTAATATGCGTTGTTTATGCAAAAAAGAACTCGCGAGTATGAAATGCAGGAGCCTTCGGAACTCTTAGTGCGTGCCTTCCGTACGCCTTTGCTTCGCCTGTTAATTTCGTGTTCACTTTGAAGCAAAACTTGTTGATCGATTCCTTTATGAGCGAGCCCCTGACTAAGGAACGAACTTGTTGGAACAGAGTCCTACTTGAGAAACCGGCTTTCTTATGTAACCCGAAGATTGATTACCGTGTTCCTGAGCCAGATGAATCCAAAACCCGATTTCCCCAAGGTACATTCCGGTCTCCTGACGGTTCTGCGCCCTTCTGGCCGGCGGACGAACATTTGAACGCATCCTTAATCACCCTCCATCCTCCCCGTCGCCAGATTCCTCTTAGGTCCAGCATCTCGGTCCCAATCCTCAATTTGCAGTGCGCCCACGATGTGAGGGGGAGGTCCCAGGTGTCACGCCCACACAGGGCGACAGGTAAAATTACAGTTCATGGCGAATTAAATAGAAATCATTTGGGGGGGGGGGGCATGGAGACCTCGTGTTCCCAGCAAGGAACTCGTGACGTGTCTGTACTCCTTCGTCCTTCTGAACTCATTTGCACCTGGCCCGTTCTATTTACGGCGTCACACGTGCATTGTTTTGTTTTCCGATCCAAAAATATCCCCGCGCGTGTAGTTTTGTCTTGCCTTCGCCTTCATCTGGGACTGATTTCCCGGTTCGAACCTCATCTAGGGCCATGATCTAACATTTCTCCCGTTTTAATGAACACAGTTATGCAACGCCTCTTTGTTTGTGGCCAGTGTGCGCCATCCTCGCCCAATTGAATTCAATACACACACTTGTGTTTATAAGATCCGTTTTAATATTATCCCGTCAGTTGCAGCTTTTGCCATCAGGTTATCCGGGTAAATTTTTGTCTCCAGTTCCTTCCGAAACGCGCTCTTGCGTGATTCTAGTATCTCGTGGGCAGTGCAGGTTATCTGACCCAGCTTAGGGGCTGTTTTCGAACACCTGCGCGTCAGAGGCTGCGCAGTGGTGATAAGGCTTTGTAGCCGGAAGCGTGATTCACAGTGAGGCGATGTTTGTATTACGCTCGCCATGCTGATTCACAGGATTGAAGCTGTAAAGATGGACACTTTGTTAATTTAATCTTCAGTTCGCTCTGTCGAGGGGCAGATCGCTCGCTCGCTCGCTCGCAACGTGCGTGGCGCTCTGCCCGTAAGACATTCCGTGCCCACGGTCTCTCTGCTCTGTCGTCGGAAACATTTCAGTTGTGCCTGGATCGGGAAGGAGCCGTGACCTCAGGCAGGGAAAAAAGTGTGACGCGCTGTAGTGACGACCTTCGCGGAGCCTTGCACCCGTCTCGTCAGCC